CGCTTTCGTCACTAGTGATAAAATATCTAGTGACGAAAATGAATGATTAGGATCTTACGTGTTAAAAACATTCTTTTAAATCCAATTATAATATACAATGATATAATGTAATAAAAAAAAGCAAAATAATAGTAAAACCAGATGTCAAATTTTTGACATAACGCTTCCTAGACAAATAACTACCTAATTAATGATTGTCATTGTCATTAATTATTGTTATTTCAAACCATGAATTCATTTTAATAGATCTTGACGTTTTTTCAGGTTTTAATGTCCCAATGAAACCTATTGAGATTTTTTTTTTTTTTTAAATTTTTTTTTTTTTAATTTTTTTTTTTTTTTTTTATTTTTTTTAATTTTTTTAAATTTTTTTTTGTATTATATAAAGCAAAATGAGCTCTAACCAATCAATGAAAAAAAAGATGGCGTTCCCATTTAAAAAAAAGATCAATAACGTCATATCTTGAAGAGGAATTATTTTTTTTCCTATATCTCTGCGTAACTTTTCCCTACACGTCTTCTTATACCTATTTCCAAAATTTCATCAAATTCCATCGAGCCGTTTTCTCAGAAAAATGCCAACACACACACACACATACATACACACACACACATACATACACACACACACAGACGGAAATGTGCCACCTTGTCAAAAAGGCTTAAAATGATTCAAAACGTCAAGATCTAATGAAATTTTGACATGGTCAAAATCGGGCTATCACTATAGCTTCCTATCTAGGAAGCTAAAAATTAATTAAAAACGAGAACTTTTTATAGATTGATTTATTGATTCATCCATACAGTGGCTAAATAAACCTTTACATACAGTGGCGACAATAGAGGTCTCGCCGCCATTTTGTTCCCAACCTCTTGTTACTTTCTTTCAAATATTAATACATATACGATTTAAATGGACATCTAACATAAAAAATTGAAATCGACGTATTTGATGACTATTATCCATCAAATACGTTGTTTTCCATGTTTTATGATGGATGTTCACCCAAATCCCATATATTCATATTTGAAATAAGCAATAGATGGGAACAAGATGGCCGCGTATTCAATATAAATATATGGGATTTTAGAACTAGGGTTGCCAAGTTTTTGAAATGGAAAAGCGGGAGGTTTAAATTTATGGGTACCACACCCAATTTTTTCCGAACAGTCGTTAAAACACCCTGTCAGTCAAATTTACTTTTTGTTAAACAAATCACTTGCCAACACGTTTTTTTCCAATTTTTCGGAAAAATTGAAAAAACACTTTAGGATCGAATTTATAGTCGCTCCTTGAGGTTTCCTCAGACCTTAAGGAAGCCTTGAACGTTTAGAATTGCCATGACTTACTTGTCAAATATATAGTAGCAAGTGTCCATTCTAAACTCACGACCTCCAAGGAAGAGTCAAGGAACGACTATAAATTCGGCCCTTTTCTAATATTATCCCCAAGAAATTATTTTCCTTTTAATTACACCCTTATTCTTACTCTCAAGCTATCTATACCGGGTGTTTTTCAAAACCCGCTCACCCCTATAACTTTTTTATTTTTCCAAATAAACAAATGAAATTTGGTGTGTTTATTTATTACCCGGATGTGCATTATTTGACGTATTCAATCATTTATTATCACTTCCAGTTTCACCGGAAGTGGCCAGAGCTTCCTTATTTTAAATGAGACACCAGAAGCTTTATTCTTGACTTTATCTAGGTAGAAAATTTGTCATTGTCAACAGTAAATGCACTGTTTAACTGTCAACACAGTCAAATTTTCTCTCGTGAGAAAGTCAAGAATAAGGCCTCAGGTATGTTTTTCCTCATTTCAATAGAAAACTACATTACGAGTACAATGACACCTCATTTGTCACTTTTTGACATTTCATCTTCAAATTATTTAAATTTTTACTTTTCAATCTAGAGCGCCATGAATTAGTTGAAATGCCTAATTTTGCTCCAAGGAACCTGGGAAAATTTGTTTTGATCTTATTCTGTATTTTATATCCTCTACAGACTCATTAAAAAATAGAAGAAGTGCATTTTTGTAATTTTCTCAATTTTTTCAAAGGGAAAGGGTGTGGCTCATTACAATATTTCAAAAGAGCGTTTTCTAACGAGCAATTCAGTACCACACAATCGCTAAAGTCTGGTTTTTTTTTAAAGATAATTCCCCAAGTCAAAAATTTAGTGACTATGTTGGCAACACAAGCCTTTTCTACATAAAAAATTTGGAAGCATTGACAATTTTACATTGTATTGCCAACATAATGTCATTTTGACTTTTATCTTTAAAAAAAAAAACAGACTTTAGTTCATGACTCAAATTTTTCTAGCATTCCAATATTTTTGGAAAATTTTAGTTCAATATTTAGATAATTGTGTACCAAGGCCGTAAAGTTGATCTTTTTTGGCCTCACCTGAAATTTGCTTGGCCTCGGCTACGCCTCGGCCGCAAATTTCTGATTCGGCCGAGGTGCACACAAAATTTTTTAGGCGAGTGTTTTTTCTTGAAAAAAGACGAAAATTCAACAGGAGCTTTAACTTTTTATTGATTAGATAAATAATCCAGCAAAGATAGGTAGATAAATAATTATTAGTAACAAAAACTACAATAAAGGAAGTGTGATTATAGAAAATTGCCGACTTTTTCGCATGGTATCCTATATTGTGCTTTTTTGAAAAAGTAATAGGATAGGGCTAAAATCAAAAATTTGGTTCCATTGTGGTTGCTAACTATTTATTGGTTGTGTTTATAGTTACGGACCGCGTTTCCGATTGTCTGTTTATATATTTTCACCAAAGTATATAGCGGCCGTAAAGTAAAAGCGGCCGTAAAGTAAAAGCGGCCGTGAAGTAAAAGCGGCCGTAAAGTAATAAAGCAAATGCGGCCGTGAAGTAAATGCGGCCGTAGAGTAAATGCGGCCAAAAAAGATATACTTTAGGGATGATATTGAATCCGTAAAACTAATCTTTTTGTGACAGTCGCCTAAAAACTAGCGATTGTGTGGTACTAAATTGTTCGTTACAAAATGCTCTCTCGGAATATGCTAATGAGCCATAGGTACCCTTTCCATTTGAAAAAATTAATATAATTCCAAAAATGCGCTTCTACTATCTTTATATTAGTCTGTGGAGGATATAAAATACAAAATAATATCAAAACAAATTTTTCCAGGTTCCTTGGAGCAAAATTATAAGCATTTCAACTAATTCATGGCGCTCTAGATTAAAAAGTAAAAATTTAAATAATTTGGAGATGATATGTCAAAAAGTGACAAATGAGGTATCATTGTACTCGTAATGTAGTTTTCTTTTGAAATAAGGAAAAATATACCTGGCTTCTCATTTAAAATAAGAAAGTTACGGTCACTTTCGGTTAAACCGGAAGTGATAATAAATAATTGAATACGTCAAATAATGCACATTCGGGTCATAAAAAAACACACCAAATTTCATTTGTTTATTTGGAACAATAAAAAAGTTATAATGGTGAGCGGGTTTTGAAAAACACCCGGTATAGATCTGCTTGGAACAAGAAGAGTAGGTTTAAAATGTTTAAATGAATAGGCTTTGAAGTGCATGCGTAATCGATGGACGATGTTAGATGGCAAAGTTAGGTTGCCTGATGACTTTTATAACGTCATCTGCGGTACCTCGTCCAATGGCTTCAACCTCTTCAACATATTGTAAATCTCCATAAGGCACCCTAGATGACGTCATCAAGTTAACCATTACCCCAGACAACCTGTTTAACTCTGAAACGTGTTTTCAAAAATACTCGTCAATTTTTTGCTCGTGCTTTTAGTTTTTATCCAAACCCAAGAACATCCAAAACCCTAAATAAAAGATGCAAATGCCCGATAGCGAAAAAAAATAGGTAATAATCTTTTGCTAAATATTGAATTATTATTTTTCTTCAGTGAAATGCGAAATTATTCTTGAAAAGCGGGAGTTAGCGGGAGTTTTTACTGCGATGTTCTACGGCGGGAGGCATGACAAAAAAGCGGGAGTCTCTCGCCTAAATCGGGAGGGTTGGCAACCCTATTTAGAACCAATCAAAAATAAGACAGCAATTGTCGCCACTGTGGGTATCTAATAAAGGAGAATTTTTTTGGTCGAGTTTTGGTTGAATTCTTAACAAAATTTGAGCGTGGCTCCAAAAAATTTGTTGCGCTTGCTTTTGCTCAAGGGAGGGACACATTGGGCACTTGCCCCTCCCCCCTTATGCTTTTGGGCGTGGCACCCGAAAAAAGCTTTCCCTCTGGATGGCATCAGCCCCGCTTTTTCATTTCATAGATCTGGCAACCCTGCAACATGCTCCTGTATTAATGGCTATTGGCTATAGGTATAGTTACAGGATCATTGCTAATATCACAGACATCATCAAACGATATTTCCATGAGAAAGATTTTGAAACAAATAAAAAATTAACTAAATCATGTGATGAACCAGCACTACAGGAGCTCTTCACTGGACCTTGACATACACGAAGGGGCTTCTATTTCTATATTTTCTCATAGCTCTGTTCCATCCGACATGAGAACCGTTCTAGAACGGTAGTTTCCAGTCGTTCAATTCGTTTGTCAAGTAAGTAGTATAAACGCTCAACTTAATGAAAAATAGGTGGGCAACTGGAAATTACTGGTTCTGGAACGGTTCTCATGTCGGTTTGAATAGAGCTTCTCAGTGTAAAAAAGTAGTAGTAATAGTAGTAAGTAGTAGTTTTGAATATTGTATCGATTTTTATTTTTATGAATATTGATAAGCCCTCCTCCTCTGCATCGTTGTTTGTACTTTACAGGGTGTATCTTAAAAAATATCATCATTTCCGAAAACGCCAAGGTGGCCTTTTAAGCCGTATTTAGTTTTTTCGTTGAAAAAATCACTAATATAGATAAAAATAAAGAGAATTGAAGGAAGATGTCTTGCGACATCCTCAAAGCAACAGCATAAACCCCTCAGAAGAGGCGGAAATGAAGGAGATTTCAATAGAAAGCCCAAAATTATTGATAATATAAAAAATATATTGAATAAAAATTTTAAAGTACTACACGTACAAATATGAATATATAATTATATAGTCTAATGTATAAAAAAAAATGTTTTTTAGGTAAAATTTTTAGGCGAGATTCTATCAGCAGCAAATTGCGACAATTTCAATATGGTAACTCCACTGCCGGATGCTTGTCTTTTATCCAGTAATAAGTCAAAATTACTAGGTCCGTCATTACCTACGGCAAAGAATATCCATCAGACTCGTAAAAACCAATTTTGCTTCAATTGCAAAAAATGTTGAAAAACAATTACATACTTTAAGTAGAATAATTCAAGGTCTTGTTCTGATGATGATGATAATACTTTAAATAGGAAAGTGAAATGTAGCCAAACATTTATTAGAGACAACTTCAAAATGAAACATTTTTTTAGAATTTTTATAACAATTTATTGAGAATATTCACAATACACAGTAACAACGTTTTGCAATATTCAGCTTCTTCGAAATTATTTTTCCTGATTTCAGTTTTGGGTAAAAAGTCTTACTTAAATACTTAAAATTAACCTAAAAAATAACAATAGGAATAATTAATTTGCCCTTTTTCCGACTTCTTGAGAGTGCTGCCCTTAAGGATTTAATTTTTTGCTATAATCAAACAAAATAGGCAATAAAAAAAAAAAACTAATAATTTCTAAAAAAATTTGATCTCAAGTTTAACTTTCAGTTCATTTCTTACTTTTCAATTTATTGCTTAGGTCGTCGAATTCCGGATCGGAAATGTTCAGCATTAGACTGTTGCCGTTGAGGTAGACTTTGTTTTGAGAATTGGCAATCTAAAACAATTCATTTTATCATAATATTATTTCCCAAAAAAAAACCACAGTGCACCTACCGTTCTGGAAATGTTTTGGGCTGCTCTGATCTTCCTCAATTTCAAATAACCTGGATTCTGCGATATAGCTTCTCCTAAGTAAATTTTTAGTTAAGAAAAACACTGACTGAACATTAGGCCGTCTAATCTAAATCATACACCTTCTACAGAATTAATAATGTTTTAAACATAAAAAAGAATAATAATATCTGCAGACAATGAAAAATTTTGTGTTAAAAAAAGCAATTTTGGTTAAACTAATGACAAAACTAAGTTTCAATAAGGCAGGTACATTACTGTACTTACTATAAACCTTATAGTGAAAATATCAGTCAAGGATAAAAATTTAAAATGTTTTCTTTGTTTTATAGTTTTCAGTTAAATAAAAGAAAAATTATAAAGCAGTAAAGGATATCATTTTAGCAGCTTCAGCTTCACCCTCAGCCTGCACAATCTTCTGTTGTTTCTCTTGTTTGGCCCTCTCAACTACGAAAGCGGCTCTTTGAGCCTCTTGCTGCGCCACCTGTTTAGCTTCTACTGCTGCAGTGTATTCTTTACCAAAGGACAATTCAGTGATTGAAACGTCGTCCAAGATTATGTTAAAGTCTTGGGCACGTTCTACTAGTTCTCTTCTTACCAAAAGTGAAACCTAAGAGTTTGTTTTACAAAATATTGATAAATAAAAATTGCCACTTCTTACTTGCTGTCTTTGTGTTATTAGCTGCGCAGCGTTAAATTTGGCAACAACAGATTTAAGTACTTCATTGCAAATAGAGGGTAGCACTTTTTCGTCGTAATCCAAACCTAATTGTTTGTAAACTGTTGGCAGGGCACTGGCACTTGGCCTAGAAAGCACTCTGAGGGAAATGTTTACCATTTGTAAGTCTTTTGATCCTGTTGGGGATGAAATTTTCCTTGGCCTTGATCTAGAATTTTTAGGTTATTTAAGTGTTGAAAGGAAATATCATTGGCTTACCTGATATCGTAAATAATTGGGTACTGAAACCATGGCAAACGGAAATGCAATCCTTCGGTATAAATTTCTTTTTGGACTCCTCCTATTCTGTTGAACATGATAGCACGGTGTCCACCCTCAACTAAAATTTAAAAAACTTTTCTATTAAATTTTTGGTCCATGAGCAGGATATACAGAGTTGTAGTTTCTTTATGTATGGAAACAGACTAATAGTTCAAAAAATACCAGGTGATTGTCTATATTTTGCACCCATATCTATCTCATCTATTTGAAAAGATAGGTACCTACCTACCCAAAAATGTTAAATGTGAAAGTTAAAGGTTATATCAGAAAGTTTTCAATGAAGTTAGTTACAAGTATACAGGGTGTCACAATAGTGTAGCAAATCAAAGGTAAACTTTTTTAAATAAAACACCCTGTATATTATTGATCTATTGGATTAGCCTTTCAAACCTGATTCCAAATATACTAGGTTTTTTAGGTTTTTTTCGTAATAGTCCAGGAAAAAATAAGAGAAAAAGGGGTGGAATAATTGCATTTTAATTGAAAAAGATGAATTATAGAGAACACCAGCAAAATATAAAGGTAATAATTCAGGCATAACTACAAGAAAATGTGGACTAGAGGGTACGAATCGAGGTACGAATCAGAAAATCTTCATCAATGAAGTCCAATCACAGAGCATAAGAAGACTGTTCATGAAAACCCAAAGAAGTACGAAAACAAAAAGTCTACAAAGCTGCTTACTATGTGAATGGAACAATATTTTTAAAGAAGAACGACACTGACACTGCCATAAAAATCAAGTCAGAGGCAGACCTCATGGTCCTCATGTGATCAAAGGATACCAAAGAATAAGTATGATAAAGTATAAAGTAAACCAATTTTCAAATTTTATGGGACCAAACGATATTCTGATGATTATAAATGCACAGAAGCATATATTTGCGATGATTTAAATCAAATAGACTGCTTTGATGATAGTGATAGGGATGTTAACATAATGCATGTTAATATATGTAGCATATATCAGAATTTTGAGTGGTTTTTGGTTTTCTTGGAGTTAATGGGGTTATACAACTCACTGTACATTATTCCCATATGACACGAGAGGCTTAATAAGTGATAAGCCTTTCGGGATTATCGCGCTTGGTGGCATTTATAGCAAATTCTATTATAGAAATTTTTTAAAATTTTAAAGTATTAAAGTTTAGTTCGTTGTATAACCTTTTGAATACCACTCGATGTTTCAGGATTACCTAATACTTTTACCTGACACTCAACGCGTTACCAGCAACACCACTCCTCCTTCAGAGTCGTCGTGTTGCTGCGTAACGCTTTTCGTGACAGGTTGAAGTATTATCTGGTAATCCTGAAACCTCTTGTGGTATTACATTCGAAAATCTTTTGATATAATAGTCATGTCAGAAACGCATTACATACACTGCAGTAGCGACTTTAACATACCTGGATATATATTATGTTTTAATGAATGTAAGCTTAATAGGTGCGATGGCTGTTTAATTTATGCTAAGCAGGAATATCACATAGAAGATAGAATATTGCAAGAAAAAAACCTAAAAATCATTAGTGTTACCATACAAAAAAATAAAAAGGTCATGGATGTATTAGCTACTTATAGAAGCTTTGCAACCGCAAAGGAGGAATTTATTGAGAACTTAGAAAGGATTCTACAGAGTGAAACCAGGGATCAAAACAGAGCATATTTCTTTGCTGGACACATAAACATCGACTTGCTGGAATTAGACTCAGAAGCGACAAATAACTATTTAAGCTTGATTCAAATTCACAGATTTGTTGGTGCAATAAACAAAATGACAAGAAAAACAGAAAATGGAGGATCCTGCCTGGATCACTTCTTTATCAGGTGCAAGATCTATCTCTCCAGTGGCGTTACACCTGTAATTTTAGAAAACGATCTTACGGATCACAACTCCCACTTACTTAACTTTAAGTTGAAAGCACCAATAGCTAGTGTAAGTAACTTGAGCTCATACAATAAAATTGATTATAATAAGTTATCTGAAAAAATAGGGGAGAGGGTGGTGTTCTGCAGGAGATGAATATAAATTTGAGTACTAATCTGTTCGTAGATAGACTGAAATCCATAATCTCTGAAGTGCTCTGAAGTGACTGTAGTAAAGTCAATTACAAATAGAAAGAGAAGATTGAAACCATGGATCACTGGTGACCTCTTGATATCCATTAGAACTAGAAATAAACTAAAAAAAGAATGTACAACAAATCATAATAATCAGGCAAGTTTAAATAAGTATCAAACTTACAGAAAAATGCCGAATAAACTTATAAAAAATGCCAAGTATGTGGTATATTATGAATATCTCGCTGTAAGAAACACCAATAATCCAAAAAAATATGGTAGGTTATCAAAGATGCTACCAATGACCAGAGATCTACAGTGTGTCCGAAATTCGAGTCTCTACATGGGGATTACGCTTATTATGAGAGATACAGGGTGGCTCAAATTAGGAAAGTTTTAGAGAATTTATTGCTCATTTATATCCTGTTGTTAAATTTCCTTCAAAGTTTTCTGTTTCCTAGAAATCCGAGAAAAACTGGAAATAGCCAATTTTGTTTTTTGTCAATAATTCATTAACCGTTAACTTTAGATTTTTCTAACTTTAACATTATTAAGACACTTTTTTGAGACGTATATTTTCGTGATTTGAAAACATTCCGATCGTCGTTTGTTTTCGAGTAGTAAGTAGGTACCTATGGTATTCCACATGTTGTTTTTGTAATGTAAACAACATGAATTACAGCTTTTCCTCCTTTCTTCTTTCGGTTTTACGCCTCGGGAAAAATTATACCAACGTGGACTGACAGGACTATCAGTCCACGTCACAGATAAAGAAGCCAAAAATGCGACCCATCGTAATATTATTGTCTTGATAAAATAAAACTCGAATTAAAGAATATTTTATTAAAATAATAATACAAGGTCGAATAGACTCTCAAAGACCGAAAATCTGAGAGTGCAAATTCGTCCTTCACGCAAAAACACGAATTGTATCTGGAATATCTAAATTGGTATAATTTTTCCCGAGGCGTAAAACCGAAAGAAGAAAGGAGGAAAAGCTGTAATGGGCTCTTTCACTAATTTTTGAAATTGGCATATTTGGATAAAGCAACTAAAAACAGAATTTTCTGTATTTTTACTTTTGAAAAATTCAAAGTCCTTCTTGAGAAAACAGAAAACAAAGAAATACCTCCAAATAAAAACCCAGAATTTATTTCTATGACGTCGCAGCTCGCTATTTGACCGTGTTGCCACTAATTATCAACATTGAAAATTTGTAATAGATTTAATTCTGAAATCTTCCCAAAATATCATGAAAAGTAGTTAAATTAATTAGTTATGGATTCAAGATTTTATAACATTTTTATTGAAATTATGCTTAAACACAATTTAATATAATTTTCTATGTTTAGTTTTATTTATTTATTTTACGTTGCACTACATTTAGTCACCACCGACAACAGCGCATTCGAACCTTTACCTGCATTTACTACAGGATAAATACAGCAGAGGCGGACAGCTCTTTCCAACAACAAGCGAAATGAAAAATATTTATGCGACGTCAGCAAATCGGCGCGTTTTTAAATAATTCAAATTTTGGTAGTTTAAAATGCCTGTAAAAAACTTATTTAACCTTGTAGAACATTTTTTTTTGGTATATGTGCCTAAAATAGTCCCTCCTTTGGGATTTTATACCTAAATTACGTATTTAAATTTTAGTGAAAGAGCCCATTCATGTTGTTTACATTACAAAAAAAAAAAAAAACATGTGGGATACCTTACCTACTTATTTTTTCTTTATTCAGTAAAATTGCCAGAAGACTTCAAAAATACCGATTCTAGGTATTAAATCATACTTATTTAGTTTTATTCTCATAACTATGAGCATTGTTGCCAAATTTAGCAAAATATCGGTTCCAAGTGTAATTTTGAAGGACTTGCAAAACGTTTTCATAGCTTGTAATAAATCATTTTAAAGGATTTTTTGCGCAGAATATTATTTTGTTGAAATCAAATATGGCCGCCATAAGAAATAAGAAAGTTTTGGTTAATAACTCGAAAACAAACGACGATCGGAATGTTTCCAAATCACGAAAATATCCATCTCAAAAAAGTGTCTCAATAATGTTAAAGTTAGAAAAGTCTAAAGTTAACGGTTCATGAATTATTGACAAAAAACAAAATTGGCTATTTTCAGTTTTTCTCGGATTTCTAGGAAACAGAAAACTTTGAAGGAAATTTAACAACAGGATATAAATGAGCAATAAATTTCCTAAAACTTTCCTTATTTGAGCCACCCTGTATCTCTCATAATAAGCGAAATACCCATGTAGAGACTCGAATTTCGGACACACTGTATAACGCCAATAAAATGCATAATGAATGACACAAACGAAGAGGTATCTGATATAAGAGATATTGCGAGTGAATTTGACTCTTACTTTTGCAGCATAGGAAAAAACTTCGAATTGCAGAGGGCATTCGGGAGGGGTATGAACGTGGAAAGAGAAGTGCAGATTCTTTCTATTTGGTCCAGATTACAGAGCATGATGAGAGATAGGAAGTTTGAAAAATGGAATAAAGGGAGTAGAATATGGTTATTTGCAGATATAATTAAAAGGTTTAAGGAAAAGTTGGTTGTCCCTCTGAGGCATATTACTAATGTAAGTTTCAGCGAAGGAGTTTTCCCAGAAGCAAAGCCAGAAGTCATAAAGAGTACCATTATAATAGCAATGTACAAACAAGGAGATAAAAATTCAACTGACAATTATAGACCAATAGCACTGACGAGTACTCTTAGCAAAATTGTAGAAAATGTCTTAGAAGTAAACTAATATCATTCTCGGAAAAAAATAAGCTATTAAACATAAATCAATATGCATTTAGGGAAAACTCTAACACTGAGAATGTTCTTGTAAGGGTGACAGTAAGAATATTGAGGTACCTTGACCAGGGGAAAATAGTGATGGGAATTTTATTGGACCTGGGTAAGGCTTCGACACTGTGGCTCACCATGTCCTACTAAGGTGCCTGGATGAGATTGGAATTAGAAAAATGCCAAATAAACTGATTAAATCATATCTGACAAAAAGAAAGTTAATTACAAAAAAGTGAGGGGAGAGTATAGTGGAGCATAGAGTGCCGCAGGGTAAGGTCCTCTCAACTTTGCTATTCACTATATATGTCAATGAAATAATGGAACAGCTCCAACAAGGTGACATTTATTGCTTTGCGGATGACACTGCAGCCAATTATAATAAACGGGGGGATTGGGATTGACAGTGAGACAGAAGGCTGAAAGAGCACTACAAAAAGTTAAAATATGATTAGACATGAGTTTACTCTTTTTGAAACCTGACAAAACCAACTTTGTTAACTTCTCAGTTTCCAAGCATACCCTGCCTGAAATGCAACACCTTAGAGTTCATGATCCACAATGCAAATTGGACATGCAATGTAAGTGTGATAACTTAATTTAAAGAAAAACATTGATAAACACCTGGGGGTAATATTGGATGAAAATCTGAATTGGAAAGAAATATGTTACCATCATTTAGAACATTGGAAATGATTTACTTTTCTTTGGTTGAATCTATTCTCAATTATGGGTTGGCTACTTGGGGTAATGCAGGATCAACAATACTGTCAAAACTAAGTGTGGTTCATAGGTGAATAATAAAAATTATCCTTTTTAAAAAGAAAAGATACCCAAGTGACATTGTTTATTTTTATAAAGAAAGTAACTTACTAACCATAGACCGAATGAATATTAAATATGTGGTAAGGTTCATGTGTAAGAATTCTTACTACAAAGAGAACATAAAGCATGATCTAAATACTAGGAGTACAACACAAGGAAAAGTTGAGCTGCAGAACCCGAAACATACCATACAACCTGTCAACCATATATACTGTCTTGGCTCGAAGGTATATAAGATAAAGGCACCAGTCTTCGACAGTGCTCCAGTATTCGACCCTTTCAAATACAAATTTAAATAACTAGGCACCTATTTATATTTTTACTTCTTTCTGGAAAAATTCGGAAATTTGAGTATGTTTGGTAACATTCTGGACATTGAATCGGCCATCTTTATTAAAAACGCAAGTAAAAATGATGGAAATATTTCGCAGTGTGTGAGGTTTTTCATTTTCTAAACAAATTTGTTAAGGTAAGTAACTTGGAAAAAAATATTTATTTTTGTAAATACTTTAGATAAACACGTAGTTTTTTGCAAACCATAGTTAAAAATGTACCAGAACTCGTTTCTTCATAAAAGTTTATCTTCATTTCAACATTTCCTTAACTTTATGGGAATGTCGATAACTGGTGCACTGTATGTAATTCCAGTATTCCAGAGTTCGACAATTTCTTTTTTTTCTTTCGTGACTAATTATTTGAAGGCAGAACTCCCATTTGCCGTTAAATGTCACATTACTAAAATGACGCTAATAGATATGACGCATTACAATCTGTTTAGGGATGTCAGAATGCTCGGCTTTTTTTACTTTGGATTAGGCAGTATGATTGCATGATAAAGTTTTATCTATCAACAGCATTTTAGTAGCCTATATACCGATTGACGAAAGTTTACCTAATTTTCCCACAAAATATCCGAATAAAGGTGTTTAAGATAAACGTTTTTTTGGTGTTTTTTTAATGTCGATTACTGGGTTAGAGTCACCGCCTTTATGAATAGGAACAACCTTAGTAATTTTCAAGATATCAGGGAATACACCAGTTCTGATGACTTCATTTATTAGTTTAGTAATTAAGGGCCAGACAATTTTGGGAGAACCATTGTTGGCTTTTGAATAGAAGATCTTTAGAATTTTCCGTTGCTGACAGAAGGTCGGGGCGTCGGCTAAGAAGTGTGGTATCGTCCGCAAATAGTGTTACACAGCACACAGCCATCAGGAATTGCATGTACGAGATCGTTAATGTACACCAGGAACAATGAGGGACCCAGGACTGACCCCTGAATGACCCCATTTTTTATTGGTAGGACTGTGGAAGTCTTATTATTGGACTGACATATTGGTGTCTGTTTGTCAGGAATGATTCGATTAGTTTTGTACTGTTTAGACTAAAATTATAATGTCGCAGTTTTTGTAGTAGAATACTATGTGCCACACAGTCAAATCCTTTAGTTAAATCACAGAATGTTACGCTTGTGTAAAGGCCCCCCTCCTGCCCATCTACAATATGATTCAACAGATTGGCTATGGCTAGTTCAGTGGAACGCATAGGCCTAAACCCATATTGGTGTTCATAGAATAGTTCATTAGACTCAAAGTGATATGTTATTTGCTTTTTTAAAACAGTTTCTATTAATTTAGAGATACAAGGGACAATTGAAATTGGCCTGTAATTAGTAGGGTTAGAGTCACCGCCTTTATGAATAGGAACAACCTTAGTAATTTTCAAGATATCAGGGAATACACCAGTTCTGATGACTTCATTTATTAGTTTAGTAATTGGGGCCAGTATTAAATTTTTTATTGATTTTAATATCCTTATGGATATGTCAAAATGGTCAAGGCTGGATTTATTCTTCATGCCATCAATGATCTCCCTTAGGTCATTAAAACTAATCTCCGTAAAGGCAAAAGGCGGACGATTAATAATGCTCTCAAGGTAGTTTACCTGGTTTGTATCTTGGTTTATATTTGCGTTTAAGTTTGGTGCCCCAACAATATTGTCAGCCACATTTACAAAAAAATTATTTAAAATATTTATGTCTGGCTCCTCTGGCTGAGATGACAGAGTTTTTTTATTAATCCTGCTTTTATTTATAATATCCCAGTATGTCTTTGACTTGTTGCCCTTTTCATGTACTATTTGTTTATAGTAGTTTGATTTCGCCATTAAAATTTCTTTTTTATAAAATGATCTATACATTTTTAGGTGCTGCTTAATATTATGGTTGTTAGGAAAGTTTTTACTCATTTCGCATATTAGGGATAAATTAGTTCGAATTTCTGATAAGTTTGTATTGAACCAAGGATTATACTTTTTTTTATTTAATTTAGCTTTGGTGCGTATTATGGGAAAGAAAGTGTTAATGCGTGATTTTAGAATTTCAATTAGAGTTGAAAATTTAGTATTGGTATCCATTGATTGACTATCTATAAAAGACCAATCTACACTTTCTAAGTCAGTATAAAGCAAAAACATACCATGTTCACTGAAATCGCGGTATATGATTTCTTTTGCCTCTGGTAGTGGCCGAGATATTGCTACAGAAAGTTATTGCTGCATGGTCCGACAGACCAGGCTCAAGCCATTAGTGTCGATAGCTGGTTACCCCAAAAATACATCTAAATCCCACAAGAACGCCTAAAAATGTCGATTACTGGTGCCTATACCTTAATGATTTGCTTAGTAGTATTAAGGAAAAAAAGTATCAAAGGGCTAAGGGGAAAATAAATAAATAGATAGTGGATGTAAAATTAACATTGTTACATAAATTTGTCACACACATATTAGGAATAGGTACGGATATAATAAAGCTTTATTTTCTGAGCAGAATGTCCATTAAGGATTGAAAGTGTTATTAGTATTACTGTACTGTTTTTGTCATGGTCATTATAATTTATTTTTTTTGTTTTGTAATGGTTTATAGCTGTTGACTTGTTAGAGTAGTAAAGGTAGATAACCTCAACTAAGTGAGTTTAATTTATCAAGGAAACCAGGTGCGCATACAGTATTCTAATCTAAGTACTATAGTGCACCGAATCTTATTTAGCAGGGGTAGGACTTCTTAATGTTGAGACACTGAATTAACAGTTTAAAGGGGGAATTTCATTTAGAAAAATTAAGTAACATGCGGCATCTTTAAAATGGTAAACTTGCAAATACCACTATCAAATCGGGCATTCCCAAAAGCGTGTACTGTTGTTAGGCTGTTTCCTTACATAACGGCAACGCTCATATACAGGGTAATTTACAAAGCCCGTGCATTAGCTTGCAGGTGGATTAGATGGTATTTCTACTACTCCACCTGCAAACTAAACAATTTCGCGCAAATGCGTTTTTATCTGTCAGTCAGATTGCATTACATGAAGGTTTATTAGAAGGTGAATAAACCGGACCTAAGAAGCTTAAATTCTGAATGGAGAAAAATGCCAAGTTTGAGGCTGAAAAAATATAACCATGATTATCATTTTTTTCAGATTGATTGTTAGGAGATATTTATGGATAAGTAAATTAGTTTACAGTCACCTGACTAATGCTGTTTTTTTTTTGGATTGGACTTTGAATTAAAAAACATAAATCTCACCAATTTTAAAGATTTTAGAAAATTGGGTACACTAAAACCAGCCTTCAAGTCACCACAAATATAATGATTAATTTTAATTCCTTGTGGTAGTTATTAGCTTAAAATCGCCCATAATATATAGAATATAAAATATTTTTTACATAATTCCTCTACCTGTGTACATAGATTGTGAAATGCCCCACACTGCAGCACCTCCAACCGCTAATAATTTGAGTCCTAGGCCAAGACCGGGTGGGCCGCCTTTGCCGAATTTGCCAGCGAGATCGTTTAATTTACTTTGGGCCATTTTCTATCGAGTTTTTCCAGCTAAAAATGCAAAAAATTACAACAAATACATGCGGTTTCTCGACTTTTTCAGATTTTCTTTTTAATTCGGCAGGCAAGGCAGGCAGGCCGGCTGTCAAAAGTGTCGAACATCAAACTGTCAATTTGATGACTCCCATAGTTCTTTTCACGTGGCTCCGGTTTAAACTAACCGGGTTACAAAACGGTTAGAGAATGACATACCGTTTTCTAATGCCCAATTGCACCGTCTCTTTTAACCGAGGCTTAAAGATAACTATTGCTTAAAATGACATTTTCCCATGCAAAACTGTCAATTTAAGGGATAGTTATGGTTAAGCCTCAGTTAAGAGAGACGGTGCAATCGGGCATAACCCGGTTACAAAGTGACGTGATGGATACCTACCACTCGAATTTGAGCGATATGTTAAACCGGAGCCACGTGAAAAGGGTTAAAGTGTTCGTGTTCTATTACCTCCAACTGCACTGACTCTACTTGTGCGCTTTATCCGAGCAGGTAAAAATGCAGTAAATAGGATCACTAGTAAAATACGAATTGCAGCAAAAAAAATTACTTTGGCTCTTTTTACTTTTGCGAATACTGATTTTGAATTCAAAGTCTCTAAAGTCACAAAAGAAAAACCGAAAATTAAATGGATAAAAATCACCTAGATGATAAATCTGCTCGTTCACGATTTATGAAAACGCTTATCAAATTCCTAACCTAACTTTTCAAAAGTGAATTTTTGTTTACCTTGTGCGATTTGTGCTTTTGATTTTCTTCTGTGGCAAAACTTTAAATTATTGCAAAATAAATCGACTCATCAAGTATAAAATGAGTGCTGCTATTGTTCGACAAGCATTGGAGATAGTAGATCCTGATTACACATATTTCAAATCCAAACGTAAGTAAGGCCTCAAATTGTTATTTAAATTTCCATGTTGAGAGTTAAACATGCTGTAAGAGATCTCTAATTTTGTCAAAACCGATGTTTTTACCCTGAAGACATAGTCCTGCATCACAAAATTTCCCTTTTTTTCACAATCACTACTTCAGACAACTTCTTAAATTAGGTTCCTTGTTCCCCTATCATAAGAACTCCCTAGATAGGCCAGGGCAGTTAGCAAAAATAGGAGAAGTTTTTGCAATCAAGCTGATTTTTTCACAGATGATAGTACCCATCAATAGTACTCTGTAAAAAAAGTTACACCTCCTAGGAGGCTCGCTTTTTCCGTCATGGTGAATTAATGATGGCGGCTGGTGCTATTTTTAAAAAAATCGTAACTTTCTCATTTATTAACCGATTTCCGTCAAGTAATAGTTATTTATACACCAAGTGAGTTAAATGAATGTTTATTCATGAGAAGAAAAAAATTTTCTTCGAATGAATAAACATTTTAACTCACGCGATGTATACAAAATTTTATTCCATTTTGTGGAAATTTAAAAGATAAAGTACAAGGGAAAATGCCGGGAGTGAGTTAAAAATATTTTAAATCACTGAAGTTTCAGATTTTTAGTTGAGCAGAGTGACTTAAAATGCCGAGAGTGAGTTAATAGTAGATTATACCACGAGTCAATAATGATATATTATATTATTCCCGAGGATTATTACGAACTGAGCCGCGTTAGCGGCGAGGGAGTAACATTCCGAGGGAATAATAGCCATTATTGCGAGTAGTATACTCTACTTTATTTACGACAAATTAATTTATTTGAGATTTTCAATGAACAAATTTCATCCGTCTCATAATTTCCAATACAAATCCACAAGCACTACACGTTTGACACTGACACTTTTGTGGAATAATGACCATTAATCCCGCTACTCGTCATTAATCCCTGGAGGAATAACATATGTCATTATACTGCCAAAATCACAAATATAATACGCACATTATACATTAGTCGTAAATAAAATGTTTTTAAATCACTGAGGTGATAAACGTCTACTTACCTTTATTGTTATGCGTTCAATAATGTCATTTTTAAACGTCAAAATGGGATTAAAAAAAAAAAACCTTTATTTTTGAATAAAGAATAAAATGAAAACATAAAATTATTTTAATAGGTTGTATTTCTGTCAAAAAAAATAAAAAATAAGAATAGAAATTGAATTGGTTCTATTCAATTTTTTCTGAACCATAGGTACTTCTCAGTAAAAAAAATCAATAATATGCGCTTTTTTCTCTGATTTTGAAACAGTTTCTGAGTTTGTGATAAATTGAGTAATTCGCGAGATATAGGCAAAAAGAACTTGAGAATCCAAAAAAAAAAAAAAACTTATGCAGGATGTGAAAACTCTACTTTTTGTATATGTTCCCAAAAATAGCTATTTTTTGGATTAATTTCAGTCCGTGAATTGTTTCATTTCTGGCCTAGTCCGTAAATCTTCATTTTCGGCCTACAGCGTAAAATGCTCCATTTTCGGCCTAGTTCCTAAAAGTCGTCATAGCAACCTGGCATGTTTGCATGTACCTGTCGCACCTGTTAATTGCCAAGGCATAATCAGTTTAAAATGTTTCATGTTGTTCCATTCACTTCACATCTTTGAGCTATTACAAAAAAGTATTGTTTGTTTAACGTATCTAAAATATAGGTTTTTTAGGTACCTACTTGTTACAAAAAATACATATTTTAGCTCGATAGACATGAAAACAGTTGCCTTTGGTTTTAGTTGATTTCTGTCTTGCGTAAAGTATTTACTTTACGCACTGTTCAAACGTTGAATTAGATTTCACACACTATTGCGTAAAGTGATTCACAACAACAAAAAAGTTTACTAAATTGTAGTTTCTTCGCAAAAATGCATAAATACCCACAAGTATAAAATTTTATATTATAATAGTTATTTGTGTACCAAGGCCGTAAAGTTGATCTTTTTTGGCCGAATCAGAAATTTGCAAATTTCAGGTGAGGCCAAAAAAGATCATTCGGCCGAGGTGCACACAAAATTTTTTAGGCGAGTGTTTGTTCTTGAAAAAAGAAGAAAATTCAACAGTAGCTTTAAACTTTATTGATCAAATAAATAATCCAGCAAAAGGTAGATACACAATTATCAATATAAAACTACGATAAAGTGATTATAGAAATTTGCCGACTTTTTCGCCTGGTATCTTACATTGAGCTTCTTTAAAAAAGCAATCAATTTTGAGAACTTGCTGATATGTTAGATATTTCCGACTATAATTGTAAATTTTAACATAGACTATAACATAGATGGACCTGAAGACCATAACGTTGAGGATTATTTAATTTTGGCAAGAAAATTCTTCTCCCAAATTTTTAATCATGCCATTTTTTTTTAGCATTTTATGTGGAAATTTGTAGCGGCCGTAAAGTAAAAGCGGCCGTGAAGTAAAAGCGGCCGTAAAGTAATAAAGCAAATGCGGCCGTGAAGTAAATGCGGCCGTAAAGTGAATGCGGCCAAAAAAGATATACTTTAGGGATGATATTGAATCCGTAAAACTAATCTTTTTGTGACAGTCGCCTAAAAAAGCCTTTACTGTCTTTTTTTCTGTATCAGAAATGTGATTTCACTTCACACCTCAGGTTGTAAACTACTTTAGACACTAGGGCGTAAAGTTCTGGAATGTTTTTTTCAAATTTATGGCATTCGAGCGTTATGATCTATATCGCAAGCTTACAATATTGACGGTAGTAGAAAAAAAAAATGTATGCAACAGGTGTGTAAACCTTCTTTTTTCATACATTTGTGAAAAAAGGTTCACTTTAGACATAATACCCGCCCTTAATAAACTTTGTTGCCGTTGTGAATTACTTTACCCAATAGTGTGTGAAATCTATTTCCACGTCTTTTGAACAGTGCGTAAAGTACTTTATTTGTCACTCATTTGTAAAACGTCACTTATCAAGTCAAAACATAACCAGCGAAAATTGATTTTTACAAGCTACTGGCTCTACTGACTTGTAAAATTGACAGCTAAACTGTAAAAACTTTTTACAAGTCAGTAGAATTATTTATTTTTGAAAAATCGGTTTTATCACAAGAATAATTGCTTGTAGGTACCTTCTGGGAGACTTTTCTGGTGATAAACTGTTGGCTACGACTGCAGCTTCATTAATAATATCTTGTAATAAATTCATTTCTGGAAAAAAATTGCAAAATGGAAATCTGTCAAAAAACCTATTTATAACTAGAAACAACGTCTTAACAACGTATCATTCTCATAGTTATACCAACTACCAAAACTTCTGTGAGAAAAAATCAAGGAAAAACATATAAATTTCAAATTTTTGTTATGTATTGATTTTTTATTTGTCCCTCTATCTTTTACAAATGAGTAACAAATAAATTATTGTACATTATACGCCAGGTAGCAGTTTTTACTGGCTCTTGAAGGTGACAAGCTCGCCTGGCGGCTCGCTAGTCATTTCCTTCAATCGCCAGTAAAAACTGTTTTACCTGGCTAATAATGTAAAATACTATAGGTAGTTGAAAAAAACTATTTGTTAGCTAAAACCAAAATCAACTGGTATTATGTCAATCGAGCTAAAAAATAAAGTTTTCACATCCTGCATAAGTGTATTTGTTTTGGATTCTTAAGTTATTTTCGAATATATCTCCTCACTCCCAACTACTCAACCTATGACAAACTCAAAAACTGTTTCAAAATCAGAAAAAACAGTGCATATTTTTAAACTTTTTTTGCTAAGAAGTACCTACAGTAAAAGTTTACAGCTACGGTTCAGAGAAAATTGTAGTGGAGTGAATTTCATTGGTTGAAACTAGTTTTCTGACTGTTTCCAACCAATGAAATTCGCTCTGACTGGTTTGTGATTTCTGTGCGAACAGACCTTAAATCAACCTATTGACACCTTTAATTTGACACATCATTTAGTGCAAAGCTTGATAGGTGTCAAAGCAGAGAATTTCTGTGCGAACAGACCTTAAATCAACCTATTGACACCTTTAATTTAACACATCATTTAGTGCAAAGCTTGATAGGTGTCAAAGCAGAGACCGCGGGCCCTTGCCCCAATAAGCTGTCCTGCCACCGTTTTCCGGCAAGTTCTCACGAGGCAGGATCGACTTTTTGGATAGAGGACACCGAGACCTTCAATCTGATACCCTATTTAGGGCATAATTCGATGGGGGTAGTGTTACGATTTTTTCAATTTTTTGATAATTTGTTAAAAGATATTTCCGGCAGCATTTGCTTTCAGGCAGGAATACAGGTTAATAGATGCACATAATACTATATATTGATAATAGTGTCGACACATAACTCGATCGGGGTAGGAAAAATGCGGTCGTCTCCCAGACTAAATAGTTATTTTTGTATCTAGTGCGCGAAATGCTACTTTGGTGATCGAGAACTGATTTTTTTAAAGAGGCGCAGCCGAGTTAAAAAAATAGTTGAGATCACCAAAGTATTTCGCGCAGGAGTTGCAAACAATATTTTTTCTACAACTCCATTTAAATATCGATCATTCGAAGCTCAAATTGCATTTAAAATCAAAGACAGGTGAATTTTAATTATTTTTGGTGTCCTGACAGATATGTGTCACCATGACATACCAGTGTGCGAACTAGCTATTTCGCACACATGTGTGCGAAATAGCTAGTTCGCGCACGGCGTCATGGAAACGTTGAAAAATTCATACCTGGGAAAAAAAGTGTCACTTCGCAAATTAGGCAATCTACTGACCTGTCAAAAATGAAATTCAATATGGAAGTTCGGGTCAAGCATTGGGTCAAGCACTGTGTTGTTTAGTCTGTATGTCATTGATTTTGTCACATTCTGGACAAACGTCAAGATTTTAATTATTGGATTCTGTGTTTTTTGTCTGTTTAGGTATTGTGTTAATCAAAATGCCAGCGATTTGCATCGTAATTGGGTGTGGAAGTCGAGGTACCTAACAGGGATAATGTGAATTTTATTCAGTTCCTGCTATTTTAAATCATTGGCTTTTGATCTTCAAATATAAATTATCAAAACAACGCAGGGCTTTATGGATTACTGCAATTAAAAGAAGAATTCACTCTCCATCTCAGAATTTATTAATAAATTAAAAAATACGTAGAAACACTATAAAATTCACTTTGAAAACAACAAGGGCCAGAACACTAAAAAATACGTAGAAATACTAAAGACTATAAAATTCACTATGAAAACAATGGCCAAAACCGAGGCCAAAACCAATAAAAAATACGTAGAAACACCAAAGACTATAAAATTCACTTCAAAAGCAACACGAGCCAGAACACAAATGTGCACAAATGCTCTCCTTATTAACGTCACCGGCTTGTCACCCCTGTCACCGCAATATTTGACCCGAACGGCCATTAAAAAATCACGTGATTGAGATTGCCTAATTGTCATCAGTGTGCGAACATCATCATTTTTTGACAGTTGTAGAAAAAGGTTTTTTTTTTTTACTTGACGAAAATCGGTTGATAAATAAGAAAGTTACGATTTTTTTCAAGAATAGCACCAGCCGCCATCTTCAATTCATCATGGCGGAAAAAGCAAGCCTCCTAGGAGGTGTTACTTTTTTTTACAGAGTACTATTGATGGGTACTACTACTATCATCTGTGAAAAAATCAGCTTGATTGCAAAAACTTCTCCTAGAGGCCATTTTTTCAGCTAACTGCCCTGGCCTAAGAGTATTTTTTGGTTATTTTAGAATCTAAAAAGAACTCAAAATCGGAGGCTTTCAGTTTATACCCGGAAAAATATAAAATAATAGGAAAAACCTACAAAAAGGGCAAAAAAGGTAAGTCACAGTTTTTGCACAAACAATGACAGGATACGTGAATAACTTTTCTGAATTATTGCAGCAGAAAAAATAGGATTTCCAATTGAAAAAAAATATACAGTTCAAGAGGCAAAAACCAAGCTTAAATCAAAAAAACAAATTTTAGAAGAAAATCTTCGGAAACTAAAACTAATTCAAGAACACAGTAAAGTTACTTTGAATGAAACCACTACAAAAAATGTAATATACCTAATGGCAACATAGGTTGGCAAACGTACTAAATTTTCCTTTGTAGATAATTGAAAGAGCTGTAACAAGAAGACCAATAAAAACCGAAAAGAATAAACAAAAATCAACTAAAACCGCATTCACTGAAGAAGACTTCAAAAAGTTTGAAGAAGAATATCTCAATTCAGAAGATTGAAAATATGATTTTAAGTGACAGAACATTGGGCCTCATAAAACTAGCCTTCAGTTCTTTTCTCATAATCTATCTATTTTTTCTTCTCATAATTATTCCAGTTTTGCCGATTGCCAATACGATTTTTGAAACTTTGACTCCTCCAAATTTAATTTTGGTTGTTTGTGGTACCTTTGGGTTACTTTTTATAGGCTCATTGTCAATTTTTACATTTATTGTTATGTATAAGTAAATAAATATTATCATGTGAGTTTATGTATTTTTAATTATTCAACTTTGTAGTTGAAAGTCATACCTCTTATCCTCTCTTTTTTGATAAAACTCAATCTTGCTATTTATTTTATTATTTAAAATTCTGTGGGATGCTCAACCAATATAACTATTTGAATAAAAATTATTCTTCAGAATCAACAATAACTAAATAATATGTAGATTACCTGTCTCGCATTTCCGTCTCTGGCTCATTTAAATTTTTTGATGCCGAGCCATTAGAACTGCTTGAAGCACTGAGATATATTAAAAACAAAAGGTCTTCGGGAGAAGATGAAGTTTCTGTTAAAGTTTTGATTAAATTGCCGAATAACGCTCTTTTGGCACTCTGTACGGCAATCAACAACTCTTTCCAGAGAGGCTCATTTCCGGATTGTTTGAAGCGCTCAATTGTTATCCCAGTTCACAAGGGAGGCACTACGGATTCTCCTTCAAACTTCAGACCTATTTCACTTCTTCCAACTTTGTCAAAAGTCATTGAAAAAATAGTTAAAAGGCGCATGTGGATCTACCTTACCAAGTTTAAGCTTATTACACCAAAGCAGTTTGGATTTCAATCATCCAAGGGAACTCATAACGCAATTTTTAACTTTCTTGACCGAGCCTATACCGAGATAAATAAGGGTGAAATGGTCGCGGCGGTATTCTGTGATCTATCCAAGGCGTTTGATTGTGTGGATCACAGAATATTGTTGCAAAAGCTTGAGCGCTATTGTTTTGAGGGGCTCAGTGTTGTCATGGTTTAGGTCTTACTTGACTCACCTTACTCAGCGTGTGCTGGCATCTGGGTCATCTTCTTCATCATTGGGTATCAACTGTGGCGTTCCCCAAGGCTCAGTTTTGGGTCTGTTGTTGTTCTTGATATATTATATAAATGATCTTGTATATCTAGACATTTTAGGTGAATTCACACTTTTTGCGGATGATACGTCTGTCTTATGGCACCACAAGAGCACCAGCGTCCTGGAGCTGAGCATAACTCAAGACCTTGAAAAGATAAAAAAGTGGTGTGATGCCAATCGCCTGTGTTTCAATGTCAATAAAACAAACATCCTGCAATATTTCGAACATTAACCTTGGAGATGATCCTATTCAGAACGAATCTGCTGTTAAGTTTCTGGGCCTTTATATTGATAACCAATTGCGGTTTGATCAACACATCCTCAAATTAAGTCATAAACTTTCATCAGGATGCTTTGCTGTCAGATGTGTCAGACTAGAGTTGGGGGCTGATATAGCCAGAAAGGTTTATTTTTCTCTATTCAAATCTCATTGAAGACACGGAATAGCATTTTGGGGAACAGCCTCCCAATATTTACTCAATATCCTATTTGTTTTACAAAAAAAGGCAGTACGCTTCTTAGAAGACATTTCTCCAAGAGAATCTTGCAGGCCGCATTTTAAGAACTTAAAAATTCTTACTCTAACATCAATTTTTATACTTGAAACAGCAAGTTAAGTGTATAACAACTATAGTAACAACGAAGGTGATAGAACTGCACAAGTTACTCGCCAACAAAACCATGTTGCCTTACCTATTCCTAAAAGCTCCCTCACCAAATATATCATGTTATCCGATTGTACCCATACATAGGTTAAATTTTTTGTCTTCTTCTTAGAACCAATTTTGTTAGGTACAATGTATTTTGACATTTGTATTTAGAGTATGTTAAATATCTTTTCTGTAAGATTAATTTTAAGCATACAGGTATCTGTAATTGGCAATTTGCTGTTGATATCTCATTGAATAAATAAATAAATAAATAAAAAAGATTTTCAATCACTTGCCTGCGGATATTAGATGTGCTGCCTCGGCTCTGATTTTTAGAAGAAAGCTCAAGAGGGCCTTATTACAAATATCAATTTACACTCTTGACGAATTTTACAAAGTATTTCTTGTTGACAAATTTTCAATAGATAATAGGTAATTATTTGTTTTTATTTACTGCCTGTAGGTAGGTTTTTGTTTTTATACTAATGTGCTGCAAGCAAGAGCCCTATATGTCTTGTTTGGTTTTTGTTGGTGATTTAATCAATTTTGTCCTCGTAATGTTAAGTATTTAAAATTTTAATGTGTTAAATGTACCTACTGTTTTTGAAATTCGTTTATACAACTTAGTTTTAGTCAGTATAGTCTACTTTGTCTACAGAACCTGTATTCTTGACAATAAAGTATTTTTCTATTCTATTCTCAATTCATTAGTAAGCTAGATTTTTAGGGAGACAAAGTTAGGCTCTACTTTGAAAAATATTTTGCTTCAGCACACTGCACCTCTAATTAGCAATGCCAACAGCTATTGAAAAAAAAAAACTAATAAAATTCAATTCAATTCTGAACAAGCTTTATTGTCAAAGAATTTTAAAAAACTTATTCACAAAGCATTTCTACTTTCTACATACTGAAATTAAGATGATATAAAGTAATAGTTATTTATATTACCAGTCCGGTATGAGCTTCATGACTGTAACGAGTGGGGAATATTGCCACGACCAAGTCGTAGACCGAGTCGTGGTAACCACACAATTGTTGTAATGAGCCTTGCGGTACGTGTGATAAACAACATTTTATCTACGACCTGCACAATAAGTGACTCTTGCCGTTTGTCTAATATGAATAACCCGGTTGGATTTTTCGAGAAAGGTTGGATTTAGGTCCAAAATAAAGGGCGATGGTGAAGAAAATGTGTATTTGCCTATCTTCTTCAACGCCGTTTATTTTTGACCTAAAGCCAACCTTTCTAAAAAAAAACAAGCGGAATATCTACTGAGGTCACTAACTAAGCAAAAAAAATTATAGATAACTATTGTGTACTCGATTGTGTAGTTATAAAAAAATGACCTCTTAGCGCACTAGTGCGATAATGAACGCGTTATGATTCATTACCGCACTAGTGCGGTAATAGGACTCATTACATAACGCAAATGAGCAAAAATTAGTGACATAATAGTCACTTATTGTGCAGGTCGTAGATAAAATAAATAAACATTGACATTGTAGGCACAACAATTATAATTGATAAACTAGTAAATGATACAAAAAATAAACAAATATCAGGCAGATTTAAAACTAGCCTTATGAGGGGCGTTTAAATAAAAAGTATTAGATTGCCAAATGGGCAAAGTAAGTGACACGCTTGACGCTGACTGCGATGTGAAGGATTATGATTCGAACCCCTTTAAGCTCACACCCCAAAAACCATAGACTTCCTACTTCCTCAGTAATATTCTGTGACTCACTCAGTCAAAGGCCTTTGAGAAGTCACAGAAACCCCCCGCGGTAGCAAAGCCATTGTTGTAGTGCTTAAGAAGTTCTTCTATAGCCCGCGAAACATGGCATCATGCGTACCCTTTTCAGAAAGGAATCCGCATTGGACGGAGTCAAAAACTTTCAGGGGTGAAGCTATAGTAGCGCTGCGATCTGGATCAGTAACTTAGTAGGTAGGTACAATCAAAATCGGAATCAAGATTGGAACAAACATAGTATAAGTATCTATAATTTATTAATGTTATTTAAAATGCAAAAATAATTTCCTATACAATAAAAAATTTAAACATAAGCTTGCCATTGCTGTAGCAACTCCCCAAAGTCTTGGCCAAAGAATATAGAGTTTATTCCAGCGCAGATTTTTCTGGTCAGTCAACTTTATTATGGCGGCTTTGCCAAATTTAGGTTAGTTTTGAGTAAAACGCAACCCAAACTTATTCTAAGCAGGATGGAAAAGTCTCGAGACGGACGGATTCTTGTTGGTGAGTCAAACCCTTTTGTTACATTTCTATACAGGGTGTTAGTTTAAAGTGATACCACTATTGCAATCTTCGACACGGTAAGAGGTGCGAGATCGGTTAAATTAGACACGACATAAGATTTTAGTGGTTTCACACAGGGTTGCCAAATTTTTATTCGTTTCCGAAATATAAGGGAAAATGTATATAAACACAACTAAAAGCCATGCGAAAATAAAAAGTATGTCATTTTGTAGACAAGAAGAAATCTTGAAACTTTTGTATTGGCACTTTCTTCTAAAGTTGATAGATTTTGAAATATTCATTGAATAAGTTATAGGCATTTTTCACATTTTCTCTTACATATATCTCGGAAACGAACAAAAATTTGGCAACTCTGTGAACGTACCTTCAATGGATACTAAAATCTGCAATTTTTATCTAATTTTGACCGACCTCGTCCCATTCACCTTTTTGGAAATAGCAATAGTGGTATCACTTGAAACGGACACCCTATATACAGGGCGAGTCCGAAATAAGTGCGCATTTTGCTATGATAGATAGAGTACATTAGGACAATTTGTTTCACTCAATTTTTATATGTTAAAGAAGGAAGGCAAATGATGTCAAAAGCACAAACCCTTGTGAAACAAACAGTAGGTACATGCATCCGCAAACCTCTCGTTAAGAAAATACAGAGTGTTGACATTATCGGAAAATTTTGACTTTTTGCCTTTATAGGTTCAAAGTGCCTTGAGGGATTTTGTTCAAATTTTCAGAAAGTGTTTGCGATGTTCTCGGACATCTTTTTAAAAAATCCGTTTGAATTCCACTTCTCCAGGACCGGACCTAGAGCGACTCTTTATTTTCTTAACAGAGTAGAGTGTATCGAACAACGAGATTTTCCAAACAATACATTGATTTTTATTTTGTGTCTCATAAAGGTTTCATCGAACAAGAAAAACTCGGGATACCTTATTTGTTTAAAAATAAACAAGGAATCAATAAATAATTTAATTTGGCAAAAAACCTAGGGGCTTGCTAATTTTCTCTAGGTCCGGTCCTGGAAGAGTGCGGAACTTAAACGGATTTTTTAGAAAGATGCTTAAGAACATCGCAAACACTCTGAAAATTTGAACAAAATCGCTCAAGGCATTCTGAATCTAAAAACAAAAAGTCAAAATTTTCCGAAAATTTCAACACTGTATTATCCTAACGAAACGTTTGCGAACAAATGTATTTATGTGAAGAGTGATTGTTCTACTGTACTCTATCTATCATAACAAAATGCGCACTTATTTCGGACTCACCCTGTATACAAGATGGCAAAAAAGTAGCAATTAAAAAGTTAGAGGTATTATGCGGCATGTGCTACTTTTTTGCCGCTGTATTAACATTAACTCTATCTGAAAGCATAGGTAACGTAACGGGTCTTCGGAAAAAAAAAGAAAATCAAAGCCGACTATGGTTTTTTAAACGTATATAGCAATATTTTATTCTTCAAATCCTGTCCAATAAAGAAACTTTGTAATCAAAGCAGTAAAGCACTCTTTGATTTAGTTTTTTTTTGAAGAGTCGCGCGTTACTTTGATCCATATAGGTATAAGAGTAGTTACAACTAATGAACTTGATCTATAATGGAAAAAACAAAGCTGATACAGCCAAAACTGATTAAATTGCCGTGTCCAAGGATTACTGAATCCTCGGAACAGTTTTTAATTTCTTCGCCTTGTCCGATCTCGAACATACTTGTTCCGCATGCACATTCGACTCTAAAAACAAACGACCGGATAATATAAAAGGAATCATCAAAACATGTTATTTAAGTACAGGGTGTCTCATTTTGGTTGTACATGTCACTTGCTATTGGAGTTAGAAGGATGTGGTTTTCGCGAACGTTGGCTACTTCTTTGTCAAACTGAAGATACCGTCAGCAGAATTGTCATCGCCCTTTTTGTTTTTCAGATATAAAGGTCTTTTAAAAAATGTTGCATTTTAGGTCTGTTCTCACAAAAGTCTCTGACAGTTTGCAATACAATACAATCGCTCAGCTAAGTTACCGATTTAGTTTGGAACGACGGCATTCAAAACATGCATGGGCGATGCTTTCTGACAGTTTGCAAACTGTCAGAGATTCCTGTAAGAACAGACCTTTTCACACAACCCTTGTTACTCGGTTCTCCCATAAGTGATTGAAAAAGTGACAACAGTTTCTTATAGATCTTTCTACATAGACCGAAAGCGTTATCATTACTTAATACTTGTGGTGCCTTCAACGTTTAATATCCAACTAATTACCTATTTTTTATGTGAGAAAATATTGAATGAATTTTGAATAAATTATCTAATCTAAAACAAATCAAGGACTAGCGTAGTCATAACGTAGGTTATTAAAATAGTCATAACGCCCTAGGGCGTTATTTTTCAGCATAACGCCCTGAAATTATCTCGTATTTAACCATATTCGTGTCTATGCATTTAACTGACTTTGACATAATGTCATTATTTATCAAATAATATACCAGTCGGACATTAATTTATAGACCAAACATACATTTTTTCAAATAATACACGTTGTATATTAATAACTCATTGGAGTCATTGGATAGCTCTGGTTTTGGTGATTTTAATGATATAAAGTTTCAGACCATAGGTTAATCTCTAACAGTTCTCGGTCAAGAAAAAAATATGTCTGTTTTTGAGAGCTTTTTTTAGTTATACCTTACAGCTCGCCTTACAGATAATAAAGTCCTTTTTTTCTAACACATTGTTTCTTATGACAGAAACATATATATTTTTTTCCTCGGAAACTGTTAAAGATAAACCTTTCGAAATATTAAAATCAGCGAAAGCAGAGCTATCCAATAAGTTATTAATATACAGGGTGTCTCATTTGAAAAAATGTATGTTTAGTTCATAATTTAAAAACTATCACAACTAGAGAAGAATTTACTTAGAAAGATCTATAAGAACTCGTTGTCAACTTTTCGATCATTTATGAGAGAGCCGAGATACAAGGGGTGTCCCAAAATGCAGCATCCTCCAAAACAACTTGTATCTGAGAAACAAAAGGGGCGATGACATTTCCGTTCAAGTCATCTTTCATTTGACAAAAAGAAGTAGCTGAGGTTCGCGTAAACCGCATCCTTCTAACTTCAAAAGCAACCAAGCTATCCTTTAAATATGTACGGGGTGTTTGTTTATAACTGGAACACTCAGTAACTTTTTTTTTATTGAAAATAAACAGCATATGTTTAAATTGGAAAATTTCCTGGTAAATTGCAACGATCTTAATCGCTGCAAAAATATTTTTTGTCGTCATAGGTGAAGAGGGTGCGCCAAAAAAGTATTTTTTTTTTAATGGAACGCGCAGCTGTATATTTTTTCATTTTCAAAATTAGCTTCACAAAAATATCAATTACTATTTGGATAACAAAAATATACAGGGCGTTCCATTAAAAAAAAAACTTATTGGTGCACCCTGTATACCTATGACGACAAAAAAATATCGTTGTATCGCTTAAGGTTGCAATTTACCAAGAAACTTTCCAACTTGAACATGCCCTTTATTTTCAATGATAAGAAGTTACATAAACAAGCACCCAGTACAACCAAAATAGAACTCACCTGTCAGTCTGCTCTGGATTTGGTCTTTTGGCGCTAGGAACATGTTCCAACCGGTACTTTTTTCTACGACAAATAGCTCCTTGTCCTGGTGATTCCTCGTAAACAACTTGGGAAGCAACTTGAGATTCTTCACTAGTAGCTTGGGAGCTCATGTCCACAACTTGAGTAGCATCCTAATGATTTAAATTTCAAACACAATAATAAAGATGAGAGACTTGAAAATTTTACCTTTTCTTCCGTTGATAAATTGTCAACATGCATTTTTTCATCAAAGGTCTCTGGCGAAACCACTGGAGATTTATAAATCGTATTGACATCATTGCAGTACCAAATGTTGTTGACGTGAGTACCCCGAGGGGCGTAGTTGATCAGCTCAAAACATTTTGCATCCTGGAAGAAATAAGTACATATCAATTTAACTGCTAAAGAAGCAAATTAAATGTTTCACCTCATCAAAATATATAGTAGCATGGTGGGGCGCAATGTAATTACAATATCCAAACTTCAACAGATCGACATTATTGGATAAACCTTTTCCCACGCTTAATACTTTATATATCATGGGTACAGCTTCTGGAAATCGTGCAGACACAGTAGGACGGTAACCCATGAAACTAAAAGAAAGTTCAATTAATAGGTAGGTACGTTGTCAGGTGCGGAAACTATAAACTATACCGACCTGCGTCCGCAAAAAAAATACTTGTGGCTGTGGCCTTCCGTTAAAGACCCGAATATGTTTTGAGTTGAAAAATTTAAATTAAAAATCACTTACCTGGCATCATGTTTTACATCAGCAGGATTCACGTCTCTTGATCTAATATTATAAAAATGCTCAGACACTATTGGACAGAGCATCGCTCTTGGTTTAATCATTGATGCCATGGCTCTTGGAGTTTTATTTCTTGGACTCTCGAGTACCCTGAAAAATACATTGTAAAATGTTAAATATCAATCATATTATTGCAGTTTTGAAACTGACTGGTAAAGTAAAAATATTTAAAAATTCTTACCTATAAATCTCTTCGATATCCTCAGGAGTCAACAATTCACTGGGCAAAGGCATTCTCAACGAGCGCTCTTGTTACTGTTGGCACGCTAAAATCTTTATCGTCGTTCTTCGAACTGAGCGCTTGAAAACCCAATAATAATTAAAAAACAGAAATCTGAGACGGTACCTCGAGGCCAGGGGAAAAATAAAATTTTTAATAGTTTAACCCAATTAGTCACTAGCAATATGGGCAATGCATGAATAACAAGTGTGACTAATTTTTTTTGTAATGTACCATATTGGTATCCTGAACTGATTAGTTGTTTTATGAATTATTTTTTAATTAATAACTTAGTAATTAGCACATAAACATAAAAAACGGTCGTCTGGAAATAAATAAATTTGACAAAAATCAAGCTGGTGAAGAAAACCAAATTTCTGAGATTATGGCAAAACTGGATTCCTCCTCAGAAGTTTCTGGCAAGTTGGAATCTATTTTCAATTCCCTAAAATTCCAGTTTAAAAGGAGACTGGAGAGTATCTTCACCTGTATGGCCTTGACAATGTAGATCATGCGCAAATCTGCCACTCAGGTGTTTAACTTATATTAGATATTTTTCATTGGAAATTAGAGTGTGAGAAAGTTGCGATGGGCATGATAATAATGCAATGTTTCAGACAGGTGGACAAGCGTCCAAGAGAGAGCCAGAGAATCGTCAAGAGATTCTATATGAGATGTTAAGCAAAATTTCGTAAAAAAGGACTAGAATGTGTAAAGCCTAGTACTCATAACTGCGAAAATCGCATTTTTTTGACATTGCTTCGACAATTTGACGTTTGATACACGCATAAAACGTCAAATTGGCAACGCAATGTCAAAAAAATGCGAATTTCGCAGTTATGAGTACTAGGCTTAATACAGGTTGGTTGAGAAGAGTATAATTTTCTGGATAAAGCCTAGTACTCATAACTGCGAAATTCGCATTTTTTTGACATTGCGTTGACAATTTGACGTTTTATGCGTGTATCAAACGAAAATTGTCGGAGCCATGTCAAAAAAATGCGAATTTCGCAGTTATGAGTACTAGGCTTAAGAATTTTATCCGTATCAACCAGTTTTGGCTGTAATTTGAACACTACCACTAGAAATTCTCTATAAAATAAGAGAGAGAGAGAGAGACTTACCTGATTTTATGGATAAAACTTTAGTTTGAATTTGAAATTATTCCACAAAACGCAAAACTATTTGAAAGAAATGTCTTTTGGTTTTACCCGCCAAAAATAGCGCTATCTATTGGCTAATTGTGTCCCCTAGGTGAGGCGCTTTCTTTTTCTATGACGAACCAGTAAAAAAATGCTTTATGGATACTCTATTCAATAACTTTGAATTTTAAATTGTCCAACCCAACAAAACGCAAATAGTATATTATGCAATGATCATGTAATGATAGCCATTAATACACGGGCATGTTATAGTATACGAAACGAGCCGCAGGCGAGTATCATATATAACATGCGAGTGTATTAATAGCCATCACATGAGAAACTCTTTGGCTTGGTTGCGAACATCCAGTTTTCTGACTATTTTCAACCAATGAATCGTTTGTGATTTCTGCGAGAACCTGTTGGAGAGTCAAGGATAGTACACACTATACAGGATAGCCTATCCTCATAAGGCCTGTGTAGATGTCTCAAGCCCCCCACCACGCCAAAGTACCAGTGATGACGTGCAGCGTGTCGTTTCTTACCTTGATGTAGGGCGTTTGAACCACAGGCTATAATTCCGCTGGCTTTTGCTTCATGAATATTGGGTTTTAGTTCATTAACATTCTAAAACAACCCTATCCGCACGTTGTTTTATTCAGATGTTGAAGCATCGTTGGTAGCGTTGAGCAACTGGCCGTTGTTAAACTCAACAAACGAAGAGACTATGCTCCATTATATGTGTTGTTTTTTTCCATCGGCGTTTTACCACCACTGATGACGTCGCCAACGGTGCAACACCATGTGACATTAATTCCAAAAATCGAGGCTAATGAGCAATCCTGTAGTAATGTACCATCGTCACCCAAAAGTATCTGGGACACAAATAATGCATAATAATCTCCTGAACTAACTTTACTGTCATTCATTTCAATGCATTTAATGCATAGTTTGACAAATATTTGACAATAAAACTCATATAATAGGACAAGAGCTGTGATGCTGTCCCAGTTACTTTTGGTGACGATGGTATATCGTTGTTGGAAAGTCAAGAACACTTACCGTGCGTTCGGTATTTTGAGTTCTTCGAGCTTGAATTTATCGTTCCTCTATTTAAAACGTGTGCTCGGTGTAGGCTCATTCGTGTTCGTTTATTAAAAATTCTGAGCGCTCTGATGCTCTGACACAGCGTTTAACTAACTGCTCTGTGCGTTCGCTGCTCACGTGATTGCGGCTCCGCTTCAGCACGCTTTGCTTTCTGAGCAAAATACCGAGAGCAAGCTTAACCTAAGCTGTATTCTTTCGTTCTGAACAAACTGATTGCTTTCACTTTTATCAGAGCCGCTTTCCAGTGACGAATTTTAAGGTGCTCCACAGTGTGGAGTCCACACCCGTAGCTTCACACTCTGGTGCTCCAAACAACTGTTGTTTCACTGGAACGCACCCTACTTCAAGCTTCGTGTTTTTGATGTACCCATAAAAAAGGGAAAACGAGCAGTTCAGTTGCGCGAAACTCTAATGCACTGGAACGCCTATAACCAGTCCAAGGCGCTCGAGAGCAGCTTAGAGCTGCTCACTTTCCACGGGCCTGGGCGCCCCAGGTCGCCCTAGATCAGTATTTTGAAATGTAAAGAACCGTTCTTTTTAATCGGGGCGTCAAGCTGGGGTCGTCTATCTCTTCCTTGTCTATTCCCACCGCTAGCACCTCAGCGGCCTCGGTTTGGTGTCGAAGATCGAGTGTTTTTTGAGGTTAGATTTTTGATCACAGGCTCTTACGCGACCCAAAGCGTCGAAGCCTGGAGTTTCAAAGCTCTGAAAAGAAAGCACCTCAGGAGTGCTTAAAGTAATAACGTTTTCCATTTGTCGAACCAGTGCAAAAAAAATGTATCCTTATCCTTACATGTTACATGTTTTTAGAAAAAGATGCGGATACACTCAGTGCTCACTGACTAACAAATTGAAATCGCCATAAGTCAGTAGAAAGCGACTCTGATTGCAATCACTTGTGGCTTTCAGACTTCCTCTTTCATTTCCGGTCAGTTCCCTTATTCCACCTTCTAAACTGAATAAAGTTAACGGATGTTAAGTACAACCTCGGATTGCCGATCACTTCGTTCATCTACCTCGTTTCATTTACAAAGATATAAACAAACGTCTTCTTTTGTAACAACCGAACACAACTAAAGTGAAACTGAAGTGATAGTTCTGCTCAGAATCAGTCAATTCAGTTTCACTTGTTCATTTCATTCAGAACGAAAGAATATTATTCTAATAGGACTGCTTATGATCTAAGCTGGTTAATTGAGCTGAAAGTGTCTGCCATGTCCACGCGACAAGTCCCTACTATTTGTGACGTCAGCCGTAGACCTCAATTTTTGGCGTAAATTGCATAACCCGAGCTTAAAACACTTTTATTCAGGTCGAAAAAACGAATTCCTGAACGTTAAAGTCACCTTTCCAATATTTGAAATCGACGAAAAAATTAACTTACAAGCACAGCCTGAATCGCAAGCAATTCCATCGAAGTCGGCGGGTGACTTATCACAACTACCAGGTGCTGATATTGGTGACTTCACCCGCAGACCATCCGCTGACTCGAGATCTGGCGAACGTACGCTTTAGAAGGATGAGCAATCAAAGTTTTTGAAGAAAAAAAAGAACCTGCATCTGGCTATGGAGTAAACCGGTTAATGACTGATGAATGGTGAAATAATCGTGCTATCTCAATTCCCAGTTTTATTTGAGCACAATGCTACGGTTTCATTACGCGTCTATGGCTGAGTTCGACTTTGCACTCCACGGAGCGGAGCGGTATGAGCATGGATATCGTGACGTCATACGCAGAGTGCGCTCTAGTCTGAATAAGGTCTTAAGCCGAACGCATACCAAAAAAAAATCCTTGTCACGGTGATTCGCTATTCTATTATTAGTTGTATTCTTTTCAAGAATTTAGAACACCAGAGCTACTCGATCCGGTGAAAGTAAATAGACCCCGATTTGAAAGGAACAGATGCGCTGGCTTTCGTGCATTATGAGGTCTGTTTCTGCAGAAATTACAAACCAGTCAGTGCGAATTATTAGTTGAAAACAGTGAGAAACAGTCAGGAAATTAGTTTCAACCAATGAAATTCACTCTGTCTGCCGACTGGTTTGTGATTTCTGCAAAAAATTGGCAGAAACAGACCTATGGTTTGAGTTCGGTTTTGAGCACTTTATAAAGGTGCAAGGTGCAACAAACGAATATGCGCGGAACGACCCGGAGCTGTTTCGGAAGACAACTATTACAACTATTGAGAAACCTAGGTAAATTAGTAATGGACTTTAAATAAAAGTATTAGAAGAGAAATCTGTGGAACAAACCGGAAACGCAATCCGAAAATGCGAGAAATAACATGCTGGCTACTTCACAACTGGTAATTTCGCGGCGGGGGAGAGGGGAGATTTGCTACACACATCCTTGGGTTCTCGATAGTTGTATTCCTTTCAAGAGCTTAAAACACTAGAGCTACTCGCTTCGGTGTTAGTCGACCCCGATTTGAAAGAAACAGATGCGCTGGTTTTCATGCATTTAAATGGTTTGAGTCGGGCTTGAGCACTCAGGTGCAACAAACACTTTTCGAAAGGAATAAGCGCGTAACGCCCCGGAGCTGTTCCGGAGCTCGTCCTAGGTGTGAAAGGAATACAACTTATCCCATCCGTCCGGAAAAGCGAGCGAGCTCAGGGTACGTGCTCGATTGTAACCAGAACGCAATAGAGAACACTCTAAGGGCTAAAACGAACAGGATCTTATGGTTTCGAGCGCCCTCGGAGTTTACCGAGTGTAGTCAGCCTATAGTGATTATGAACCAATGACATTTCACTAAACGTAATATGATGTCATTGTTATGAACCCAGTTGATATCTAACTGCGCACGACTTTAGAACAGGAATTTCTCCAGGGCTTTCTATTTTTCTATACCCAATAATAGCTTCGTTCGCAATAAGAATTCGGAATTATTTGCTGGAGTAGGTTTAAATTATACCATTTGCGATTCTTGGATTATGAAATTTCGAATTTTTGGTAACAGTTCCTTGTCCGCTGTTCAGAATCAAGTCCGGATCGATTCCGACCCTAGCGGCTTTAAAAATTCAACAAATAGATTCTCCATCTCAAAATGAAATATGAGTTTTGGTTTCCTGTTCGAAAATCGTCCAGAATCTAATAAATTCACAGATTTCGCATTCCTTGCAACCATCGGAGACATGGAAATGATCAAGGATAATAGACACTACACTACAGGATTGCCTATCCTCATAAGGCCTGTGTGGAACAAATCTGAAGCCCCCCACCACGCCAAATCACCAGTTGTGACGGCAGCATGGCCTTTCTTGACGTTGCACAACGATTCCGCGGGCTTTTGCTTTATAAATTTTTGGTTTTACTACATTGATTAACATTCTCAAACAATTTTTTTTTTAAATTTCGTTTTCATCTTCCTCTTTGCCTATTATGTTAATCAAAATTAAATAATATTTTTCATCATAAATTTAAATTCTAAATTACGACCGCTAGTGCAAACAGCTGACGATTTAGTTATGACGTCGGAAATAGTGACACACACACACACCAATATGGCGGCGATTACCAAAAACGAGGCCGATAAGCAATCCTTACTTAGTAGTGTGCATTATCCTTTGGTAATGATAACACTATGATGGAACCAATGGATGGAACCTATTTTACACACACACACACACACACACAACTCGTGCCGTGCGTACAACTCGTGCTACGCACTCGTTGTACAACTTCCACACTAATCCACACGCTATCTAAGTATTCTGTTAAGTCACTTCTATCGTAAATATCCATTATTTTATTGAAATCCCCCATCCAATAGAACAAATGCTAAACACATATGATTTTTGTATCATTATCCCATAATCCCCATATAATTTTTTTTTTAATTTTGACCGCCCATATAACGATATAACCCTTGCCGCGTCGCGGAGCTGCTGTTCACTGGCAAGGCGCAGTACGCACTGGCCTGGCACTGTGACGTCTGTGACCGGTGACTCATGGCCAATGCTCGTGGCGATACGCTTCGCCTTTTACTTCAAATTTCACCGCCCGCCTTTGGCGAGTGGCGACACCGCCGTCTTTTGACCTTGAACGGAAACTTGGAATTTGATCCCCATATACGCGAGAACATAAACATTTCCAATGGTAAAAATCCTGGAACTGGTTCATTGTTCATTAGAAATTTGCTGGATTCACAAGCGTCTTGCACCATTTAACTTACTGTGCGTTCGTTATTTTGATCTGAGTTCTCCGAGCATAAATTTACCGCTCGTTTATTTGAAAAGTGTACTCGGTGCAGGCTCATTCACGTTCGTTTATTAAAATGTCGAGCCCTCTGATACAGATCCAACTGCTCTGTGCGCTCGCTGGTCACGTGATTACAGCTCGGCTCAGCACGCTCTGCTCTTTGAGCAAAATACCGAACGCAGCGGTAGGCGCCTTGCCCTATTGTCAAATTGTCGTCTGTGACTGTCAAACAAGTTCATTCGAGTTTTGAAAATATAATTCATTCATTAATCATCATTACTTTTATTTTCATTCGAAGAAAAACATAATTAAAAATGTAGAAAAGTAGTTTGTTTTTTGTGATTATTGTTATTATTGTGCTGTAAACAATGGCCTACGTTAACGTCAAAGATTGGTCTGTGGAGCAAGTCGTATATTGGCTGAAGGGTAAGTTATTTCACAGGAGACAAGCACTACAAACAGGGCATTAATTAGGGGACCTTGAAATTGGGAGCTATTCTCAAGCTTTCGGGGCATTTTTAAACTGGTACTTATTTCTCTAATGAAGACTGAATAGATATCATAAAGGTCCATTTTTTGCTTTCGTCACAATAGATAATACAAGAAGAAATATTTGCCAAAAATTGCTCTCTGATGAGGAGCAGAAGGCATTTCACAGCACAATATTAATGAACTGTATTTGTGTTTCAAGCTACTTTGAATTTAAATATAAAAATCCTTTTCATTTGAACATATTTGGAATTCCCAAACATTCTTGTTTCATTAATCGAATCATCATTTCCAGGCCTAGACAATGTAATACTCCAATACCAAGGATATTTCCTGAACAATGAAGTAAAAGGCTATCAACTATTAAATTTTAGAGCAGACGATCTAGACAATCTTCGTGTTAAAAAAATAGGACATCAAGAAATAATTTTAGAAGCTGTGGAACATTTAAGAAACTTTGTTAGTGACCAATAACAACTTGTTTTATTTGAATTCTATAATATATTTTTTAGCATTATGAATTAGACAAGGAAAACCTACAAATGCTGGCATTAAAACTGTCCTGTGCTGCTAATTCTCTATACAAAGAACTATTACTTGTTGATGAAAAAAATGACTTTCTTAAGACCCAAGTGATGTCTGATGTTCATAACATAATTGCCGCTATTAAACCTTTAGTTTTGTGGCTTGACAGGTAAGAATCCTTGGCAATGTAATTCTGTAAATATTCATTGCAAATTTTAGATCACCATTCACTGGAGACAAAGACTACATCGACAACAAACGAGAATTGTTAAATTTGAGCTTTGACATGGCCTATATTGCTCATAGGGGAATTTTTTCTGAAAATCCTGTATTGACTATCAAAAAAATCTGTGATAAATTGGCTAAAATAGCTGATTTTATTATTCAGGTAAATAGTTTTGTGTAAGATTTATTTCAATTTTAAAGTCCCGTTTGTTTTTTTTTTAGGAAATATGTGATCCAATGATACTCCAGCCTGCCTCTCTAGACTTGGCAACTCTAAAGAAAAAAGAACAAGACTTGGGCTTTTACATTATGCCCAATTACTTACCTATTCATCAAATTGTTGATATTAAATTTGGCTCACCCGCTCATGGAAGCTCCAAAATTGAAGAAGGTATATTATACATAAATAATCATATACCTAAGCAAATTCAAATAATTATTTTCAGGTGATGAAATTGTTCAAATAAACTACCAAACAGTGGTTGGTTGGCAAGCAAAAAAAGTCATGATGCTACTGCAAGAAGCCTCACCTGAAATAGTGTTGACACTAAAGAAACGACCAAAACACTCGAAAGTTTATGGGCAAATTTACATGAAGCCCTATAGATTGCCCAGTAGGAAGCGCAGCAATGAAAATTGGTCAAAATGGAATGACAATTTGCCATCGCCTCGGTTGTTGCCTATTATTGATTTGCCACCAATCAATGCCTCCAAGTAAGTGTCCTGTTTTTAATAAATTCGTGTATTTTTACAAAAATTGTCTCAAGGTCTGAAGAGGAGATCAGTAACGTGGAAGCTGAATTGAGTAGTAGTGACAGTGAACCGCCAGATAGTCCTTTGGAAGGTAGTTTTAGGATGTACCCAGTAAAACCACGGCCTATTCTGCAAAGAAGGAATACCATTACTGGTACTACGCCAACTAATAAGAGGCCTACTACATCTATTGAAGAAGTAAGTCAATCTTTGAAACTGACTAAGTCTTGGTAAGAAAGTCCATATTGATCTAAATGGCCTTGTTGGTTGAAATAAATAAAGTCCAAGGCCTCAGTCTAAAGTAGTTTAATTGGCGAAATTTCAGACCTCTTACTTGGATCACATACTTACAACACTGATCTAAGTAAGAAGATTATCTGATTTTTCCACTATTCAAGCACTACCTTTATTTTTCCTCACATAATTCCTCACTAAGACTGTCACTTTGAGGTCATTTTGCTTGAGCACGACTTCAAATTATTTATTTATTTATTGAGGAAATACCTACTTTTTTCTTTTTCTGCCCGTAGGTAAGTAAGTACTTCAAATATAACATATTTCAAGCTACATTTTTAAAGTATTGTAGCGATGCGTTTTTGATTATTGAAGCGTAGAGATTCCTTGTTCAAGAGTTAAATTATCTCATTGAATTTGCATGATTTTGCCTTCTTTGCATTCAAATGTATTTTAAAGTTTAAAATTTTTTCTGTTTAGTAAATGATTATGGCTGCTATCTAAACCTGAAATTTTTTCATTTGCAATTTTTAGTTCTTGTGGTCTATTAAAATTTTGTTTAACATTTTCCATTCTGTTTCAAAGTTCTTATTTTTTTTAAACTTGGAAGATTGCAATATTCTAGTTCTAAAACCTTATGTCTTTCTTCAAAAATCTTAACTTTAAATCTCAATTCTTCATTGATTTTCTTCAATACTAAACTCACTTTGACCAACTCGCAACTCGACATTTTCTTGTTCAATATCTTCTCTGTGACTTTCAAATTCTTTGTGTTTTGAGTGGAAACTTCGATCAAACGTTTCCCTTTCTAATTGGAATGTTTTAATGAAATTTTCCTTTTGATTTTCAAGTTATTGCACGTTTAGGTGTAAAAAATTACATTTGGTGTTATTAATTTCTTGGGCTACTTGTTTTTCTTCTGAAATTTATGAGTTTTTCTTAAGTTTTGTTCCAAAGCAAGTTTAAGCTTATTTATTTCCACAATAGTAGCTTCTTTATCAGTTAATGTATATATTTGATGCCTATTCAGACACCCATAACTACCACGATTGTTGCAATGGTAGTTGTCACTCCAAGTATGCTAGAATGATGTCGTATATCTCTCCATATATGGTTTTGAAGTTCTCTTCTGTCATTAGTGACTTTAAATCATCTGAGTGCCCAATTACTGACTCAGATGCTGGCTGAAACTGTGAATGTTGAATATGTGTGGGTTCGTCGAATGAAAACTATAGACCAATAACCCTAATTTCTATGCTCTCAAAAATTGTTGAAAAAATAATGAAAAAAAGGTTTGTTTATTATCTTACTAAATACAAATTAATATCAGACAAACAGTTTGGGTTTCAGCAGGGGTTATCCAGAGATGCCATAGCATACTTAACGGATAATGTTTACAGAAAACTTGATAATAATGAATGTGTTATGGTACTTTTTTTAGACCTTGCAAAGGCATTCGACACTGTGGATCACCTTATGCTGATAACTGTTTAAAAAAATCTTGGATTTCGTGGAAGTACACAGGAACCGATAAGATCATATCTAAGTGAAAGAAAACAATATGTCCAGATCGGTGAATCATTTAGTGAACCAACAAATGTGGAGTATGGTTTGGTATGGTGTTCCTCAATGAAGCGTACTAGGCCCAATCTTATTTACACTTTATATAAATGGCTTGTTAAACATAAATACATTTGGGCTGATCGCATCGTTTGCTGATGACACAGTTATTATATACAGTGGAAAAACATGGAAACAAAACTACAAGCAGAAAAGGATTTAGCAATGATAAAGAATTGGTTTGATGAGATGTCTCTGACAATTAACTTTGAAAAAATAAAATACATACCTTTTAGTTATAGTGAGGCAAAAGTTCCAAATTTCACAGAAATTGATTTAACACAAGCAAATAACTCAAAAGTAACTATAAAAGTGACAGATAATATAAAATATTTGAGAATTCTAATGGATAGATATTTGAAATGGGACGTACATATTGTCACAGCTTCTCTGTGACGGGGGATGTAGGGTGGATAGATGGAGAGAAACTCGCTCTGTTTTTATATAAAAATATGTATATTTGCTAAAAAGTCATTACGTCATGAATCCTTGATACATGCTCTTCTTTGGAAGGGCCACACGTTTGACGCTACTTAGGAAGGAATGTCTGTTTGATGCTAATGTTACGTAGAATGTTCGTCGTCGTTTAACTGATCCTCATCTAGAGGGACTTTCCCATAAACAACCTAATAAATAAACTATGCATTATACTTTTTAAAATTAAACAACTAATCAAAATTCAGTATGGGATTGTTGGGTGGGGTGGAGCGTATAAAATACATATTGAAAAATTAGAAAAAATTCAAAAGGTTTTCTTAAGAATAATGATCAATAAAAATCGCCTTTATTCAAGTAACAAAACATATGACGAAACTAAGTTAATGGATTAGGAGATTTTCGAAGTTTGATACTTTTTTTTTTTTCATTTTACTTATTTTATTTTATATAGTTATACATTGTATTTAATAAATAATAATTTAGTTAATGGACATTAATCAATTACATACCCGTAAATTGTTAATATATCAATTCAGATATAGGCACAAACTAAATATGATTGATCACCCACATAATACCCGACAAAAAGTCGAAACTGAGGGTTGCAACTATTAAAACCAAAAAGACAATTGCCCAAAGAACAATTTCCTTTCTTGGGCCTTAAGCCCTTATATCTACAGATTTTTACCAGATTTTCTTAAAGATGTTTTTAAATTAAAATTTTCTAAAATTATTATTTAATGAACACAAATAAAAAACTCAAATAACATTACAAGAAATACGTTCTTATTTATTTTCCTTCTGGTTTCTAATTACATAAGATAGCTCTGAGTATTATTGTCTATATTATTTTTTTATTTTGAATTTTGGTAGGTACTTACCAGTTTTAAATATGCATCTGTGTAATAGATAAAAGAACAACTGAATCCAAATTCAAAGTCGGGTGTTGTATCACTGAATGAGGGGAAGGGAGGATTACTCTGCGCACAAGTCCTAGACTAGGACTTCAGCAGAACACTTATTTCTGTTCATTTGTGGAGCATAGCCTAAAAAGCCTAGGGATATTACGTTAAGGGTACTTACTTATTTTGTTTTATTTGATTATATTTATTCAATTGTGCTTACTTATTATGTAGGTACTAATTATTTATGTAATTAGTTTTGTGAGGAGGAATTGATGGAAATAAATAAAAATAATAATAAATAATGGCAACATCTTCTCAGACTCCATCACAAATAATAGCTATATTGGCTGATCCATTTGTAATAAATAACCATGTATTTGGCGTGGCCATTTGTTTCCATATTGTACCCTGCACTGAATCTGTGAAAGTTTTGCATTTCTTGGCTTCAGATTTATGGTATATTTCATCAGTAATACAGTTGTCGTTATTAATGTTTCTGATAACATCTGGAGAACAGAGAAACATGATGTTTCAGTTTCAAGTATCGTTCGAATTATTTTTTATGGAGTTGAATGAAAGTAAAGCTGAGAGTTATAATCGATGGCGATATAATCGTTCGATATATCGTAATGTCCGGTAGGAGTTGTTGGATATTCGTACTGGAATTGGGGTTGCTTTTATAACATCAAACTGTGATATTTCTATTATGGGAAAATAGCCAAATACCTGAAAGTGGCTGCTATTCTGATATAAGGACATTTTTATTACAGGCGAGGCGTGGATAATGCTTTTAAGGTGTTCGGTAATTTTCTGTTGATATCCGTCATCAGAGTATGAAGAAACGTTGGATGTATGATGTCGTAGATTGTTTCCCTGTTAAACTGAATATGTATCATATTTTCGTAGTATGAACTTATTTCTGCAATGTAGTTAGTTGCTATTTGATAAGTGCTTAGGACATGAATATTAAGGCTGTTAATGTCTATACTTGAAAACCATTTGTTCATAGATTGAATTGCTATTCTAATCCCTGATTAAGCCTTGTTTGGAATCTGCGAAGTTGATTATTTATTTTTCTTCAGTAGTATTGAATGTTGATAGTGCGGAGATCAAGAATTGTGTTTGGTGATTGGCAGCTTTTATCAACATTTCTTGATTTTTGTTTATATTATTTATGTCCTCGTAGACCTCATCGTTGACGCCAAAAACGGACGTCAGGAATTTTCCCAGTAAACCTCTTTTTAGACGAAGTTGTACTTCTTGGAGGGTCTCAAATATCCAGCTAAAATGTTGTTGTTGCTCTTTCAGATGATAATAATAATAATAATAATAATAATAATAATAAATTTATTCAAACACAATTACAATCAACAACTGTTTTAACTAACATACACAAATAATATTACTTCTACATCTATTTAGCGGCACCTAAGTGAGCAAATCACCTGTATGTGCCCGATATGTTTCCAGCTTACTGGTAATTGAATAGTAAAAGCATGAAACATAAAATAAGAGAAATAAAAAACAACAATTGTTATAATTGTTGTGCTAACTACTTACGCCTACCCCAAAGCCCCCCCACCCCCGTACCCCATCAACATTTTCCAATTCCATGAATTTACAACAATATTTTTATTTCACTTTCAAAGTACATACCTTATATCTAATCAAGGATAGCCATAAAACTATCACTATTTTTAACAATATATATTTTACATTTTTTATTAAACAATTTTATTCTAGATAGGTTTTTTATTTCCGTTGGTAACAAGTTATAAACTTTTGGTGCCAAATAATCTATAAATTTCAAGTTTAAAGTCTTGCTATTCATTGGTATCATCAGGTGTTTATTTACATTTGATCTAGTCTGGTGGTCATGTGCAATAAATTTTTTCATGGTTTTATTTTTAAATGTAAATAGACAAATGGAATGTATATATAGACATCTAATATTGCATATTGTCGCATCATACAGCAAATTGGTTGGGAAAGATCTTTTTT